AATAGGTATATTTAAAAAGATTTCAATTTAAATTTTAAATGATAAATATAATTAATACTGTGAAATTAATTATGCATAATAAAGTTCAAAATTTTTACGAAAAGTAAAAAGATATTTCAAAATAAATTTCTAAAATAAAGAGAAAAACTACAAACATAGAAAAAAAGCTAATTTATATCACCACCCCCAATCAAATAGTTAATATTTCTGTTTGAATCGGTAAAGAAATCGGAGACATTCAAATGAGTCACATCAATTGGGCCATCATAGTTAACAAAATTTGTCTCCACTTTCCCGTTTCCCTTAATTGATTTTTGGTAGAGATCCACAAGATATTTTACCGTACGATAAATAAGTGTGCAATGCCCTTTCATTCAACATCTAAAACAACTTTTTTCATGTACCTTTTTAGATGTGCTACTTTCATTTACTTTGTGCATTTTGAAATTGTTACCTTGTTGATAACTTTGTTGATTATTTCGTCCATGGTTTGCTCCATGTGCACGTCCACATCTACGTCCACGTCCACGTCCTTGTCTCGATATTGCATTTGCTTCAAGTAATAGTACAGAATCAGTTGGACATAACCCATGATTTTTCATCAACAGCTCATTATTCTATTCAGCAGCAAGCAAGCAAGATATAAGTTTTGAGTACTTTTTGAAACCACGCTCGCGATATCGCTGCTGCAGAAGCACATTCGAGACGTAAAAAGGTGGAAAAAAATTTCTCCAACATATCTTCATTAATAATTTTTTCCCCATACAATGTCAATTTTGAATATATTCTGAACAATTTAGAATCGTACTCACTAGCAGTTTTGAAGTCTTACAAACGAAAGTGCATCCACTCATAGTGGACTTTGGGGAGGACATGATCAAATCGTTGAATCATTTTTTTCCAAAGAACCTGCGGGTAATCCTTAGTGAGATATTCAGCCCCTGTTTGAGCCCCATCATTTATAGATTATAATGAGATGAATATTTTTTTTTTTGAAAAATGAGTGATTGAAAAGTTTTTAATTTACGTGTAATATTATTTTATTAAAGATTGTGTAGTTAAAAGTAGGAGAGGAAAAAATTTAATTTAATGTAATGAGAAATAATGGGGTTCAAACGGGGGCTCAATTTTCAGTCTATTGTGAAAATGGTGACGAAAGAAGATGAGTGTTTTTGTACGATCTTGTAGGGATTCTTTGATTCTTTCTTTTGTTGTGTCTCCCAAATCTTTTGAGACAAGATGGATATCAGCATCAAGTACCGACGATAGGTAATTTTTGTCAGATATATCAAGTGCAGCAAAGTCGAGTTTTATGATGTTTTCCATTTGATTAACTATATAATAAAGTAAAAGAAAATCTAATTAGTTTTCGAAAAATATGATTAAACATCATATAATAATTAATCAAGTAATAGTATCAACATGACATAATTTACGTATTTTCCTTCAAAGATAAACACTAAAATAATATATTTTTCGAAACACGTGCTACTTCAGGAGCACGTTGTATTTTATTATAATTTCTTCAAAAGTAATATATCAATATTCTTTTGTAATATTGAAAATTATAATTTATATTCTTCAGGAACAAGTAATATTCTTTAAAAATATTAATTATAATGTTGTGCTACTCCAGAAATAACAATAAATCATTTATAATAGACATATTCACAATTAATATTCTTCTGGAATATTAATTGTAAAATTGTGCTTCTTCGAGAGCAATTTATAACAATACATCTAAAGTTATTTAATCAAGTTAAAAATATTTATTACCATACAAACATGAATACAAATTATCAAACATGCATAGAAAAAAAATCTTCTTATATAGAAGTTAAGAGAATTAACTAAATCTTTTACTAACATTTAAAAGATACCAAACATGTGAAGGATTTTGCTACAAACTAATACCACAAAAGTAAAGTCACAAGATTAAATAGTATTATGTAAAAGTCAAAGGAATGATAGTGGACACAAATTCATTATTAGTAGAATTGATAGGCACAAATATCAATTGTAATGATTATAGAATAGATAATTAGTACAAAACGTCCCTACCTTTTAAATTTAGTGGAAAACGTTCGTATCTTTCTTTTTTGACATTTTCGCCCTTACCTTCCGCATTTCTTTGCGCTAAACGTCATTTTCACCAATTTTTAACGTAAAATGACTAAAATACCTCCTAAATTTTTAAAAAGTGCAAGCGAGTCCAAATAATTATTAAAATGTCTAATAACACAAAATGTCCGTATGTTTGGCCTATAGTGTGCAAGACATACATATGTTTCAAATTGGTGAAAATGACATTTTCCACAATAAACGTGAAAATAGAGATGAAATGCAAAAAAATTGAACCGTATGGACGTTTTTCGCAAGAAATGTCAAACGTAGGAATGTTTTTAGCTAATAGGCCTTATTAAAATATTAAAAAAAACCAAAAAAACAAATTCTCTCTATTATCTTTCTCTCCAAATGGGTGAGGAGCTTTAGAAGTCAAAAAAACTCCAACAAACCATCACCCAAACTACTGAACCACCATACCATTGAAAAGCCCCCACTTCTCTTTATATATACTATCCAACATTCAATCTTGAAACCTTAATGTCAATATTTTTGTTTGAAATTGCAAGCCAAAATACCCAACTCTCGAATGCAAATATTAGCGGCATCACTTGTTCTGAATAAACCCATGTCATTTCCAACATATCAATCGACTATACTCACTAGGGCGCCTTTTTTCATGGTCTTAAAATATCAACAGATGGTTCAGTGGTATGAAGATTCGACGATTTGGGTGATGATTGGTCGGAGCTTTTTCACTTCTAATGTGACTCTCATTTGGAGAGAGAGAGAGAGAGAGAGAGAGAGAGAGTTTTTTTAATTATTTTTAATAATTTAATAAGACCTAATAGCAAAAACATTCATACATTTGACACTTTTTGCGAAAAATGTCCATACGTTTCAATTTTTTTGCATTTTCTTCTCTATTTTTACGTTTCATTGCGGTAAACGTCATTTTTACCAATTTGAAACGAATGGACGTTTTGCGCACTATAGGCCAAACTTAAGAACGTTTTGTGCTATTAAGCATTTTAATTATTACTTGAACTTACTTGCACTTTTTAAAGCAATGAGGAGTAAGATTGTAATTTAGTTTTTATTTTTCTTTTCATTTTTTTTTTGTTTTATTTAAATGGGAGGGTGTTTTGGTCATTTTACGTTAAAATTGATGAAAATGATGTTCAACGCAAAGAAATGTGGAAGGCAAGGGCGAAAATGTCAAAAAATAAAAGGTGATAATGTTTCCACAATAAATTTGAAAGGTAAGAATATTTTGTGTCAATTACCCTTAATAATCAACACAATTCGTGTAAACAAAGAAGTATAAATAAAGGTAGGGATCGAGATTCGTAAATTCATGAGGCGGATGCATGACAAGTAGACATATATAAAATTTCTGTTGAATTAGTTAGTTTTACAAACTTTGCACCTGACATAAAAGGCTAAACATTATTTGTTTCTAGCTTGGTGCACATGCTCGTAAAAATATGTCATTATGGCGAACTTTTGAAGCTTTTTCTCTTAGAAAAGCTGAGTCCATGCCTAATCCGGTTAATTGACATAGATTTGATCCTCGCCACTTCTCGGATTTCACATCTCGAATTTCACATGTCACCAAATTAATTTTGGTACATATAATAGATGATTATGCAAAAAAATTATTATTACCTTTTAACAAATTCACTTTTATTTTAAGACAATCGTGTTAATAACGTGTTATAAAAGAGAATAGAATAGAGAGAAATCAATAGACTTGTATATATTTTGTTAAGAACAAAAACCCTGTATTTATATGGCAGAATCAGGGATAAAACATTAATAATTTTTAAGGCTACTGGAGTATAATTGTCATTCAACTCTAAAACCTAATAAACTTAACTTTTACAACAATTTGTGAATTTTTCTAATTATTCAAATTGAAATATGCCCATAAATCATATGAGAGATAGATGGCCTGTCCATCTTTGCTATTGGAGTCGAGCCCAACAAAAATTAACGAAATCGCTTTGTGCTTTTATTTTTAAAAGTTGAAAAATAATAAAATATATATTATTAAAAATCAAGTATTAGTACCAAAAAAATCGTAAAATAACTCATCAAATCCTTCATCCTCACCAAAACCCTAAATTAAACCCCCTCACTTTCTTTATCTCTCTATCAATTACCCAACCCTAAATCAAATCCCCCATTTTAAACCCACAGAACACCATACTTGTCACCATCTCTCACATCAAATCCAATACCACCATGGCCACCATCAATAATCGTAACCACCTACTCTTTGTAAATCACTGTCGCACAATCCTTAACCACTGTGCAAATTTAGGTCTTGACCCAATAACTACCATCTCTGTCACTACAATCGTAAAACCAACATACATTGTATTAGCAATGTAATTTTCTTGTGTTGATGGATGGTGGAAATGGTGAATTGTGGCGCATCAAATTTAAGTTACAATATAAAAAAAATAAAAAAAATTACACGTTGTAACAACAATAACACATTGTTTAAGTTACAATCTAAAATATATAAGTGTAGAATTTATAGAAAAGTAAGATACATAAAATTAAAAACACGTGAAAAATTAGATATACTATAACAAAAAAGTAACAGATTTTAAAAACACCTTATCTTTGAAATACTTTTCCATTCGCCTAATTTTGAAATTGATCCCCTAAATGTTTGTAATTTTGAAATTAACCCTAACATGAGAATACCACACCAACATGGTCCAGCACAAAGTTCGGAAAAAAGTTTAGGCCCCATTACCGAACCATATCAGTAGTAACTGAAGTACATTTTAATCCCACATCGAAAAATGGAGATCTCACCATTTCATATACCAGCCCCTATGCCATCGAGTAATGGAACAGGTTTATTTTGCGAAGATTTGATGATTGATTGGAGTTATTTTCAGTGGGTTTTTTGGGTCTGAATTTTTTATCTGAAAATTAGGGTTATTATTTTTTGAAAAATGGAACAAATTTATTTTGCGAAGATTTGATGATTGATTGAAGTTATTTTCAGTGGGTTTTTTGGGTCTGAATTTTTTATCTGAAAATTAGGGTTATTATTTTTTGAAAAATGGAACAAATTTATTTTGCGAAGATTTGATGATTGATTGAAGTTATTTTCAGTGGGTTTTTTGGGTCTGAATTTTTTAACCGAGAATTAGGGTTATTATTTGTTGAATTTTTTTTAACATTTTTAGATGGTTTAGGTTTTCTGCTAGTGATGTGAGACGTGGTGCAAATTCATGATTCTTTAGCTTCTACTCTGTCGATTACACCAGCAATCTTTGGTTTAAATTTTTTACAATCAGTCTTTTTTTCCCGATTGCAGATAATTTGGTGTCAGTCGCGGTTGACTAGCCGCCGCTGGTGGGGCTGAAGCGGAGCAAAAGTAGCATGAGTGGACACCGACAACAGAAATCTGATCGATAACTTCGATTTCCTTGTTATTGTGCCACGGGTACTCGAGGTTTTCTATGTTGAAATACGATGGTATAATTTTATTCAAAAATATATCATTCACAGACTAACGAGCATGGTGTCTTCCTGAAATTGATAATTTAAAATTGGTGTTTTTTGTGATATTTTCTTTTGCTAAGCTTCGCATTGCGCACATCATCGTTTGTCTGATATTAAATTTCAGTATTTAATTCTTCATAGAAGTTGTGGCTTTAAAATTCTGGGGAATGTATTCAAGTTTCTAAAATGAGAATAACTAGGGAAAATCAAGTAAAATTTGTTGTAGTATAACATAAAAGTGTCAACGGTAAAGACAAGGGTTGCTATTCAAAGAATCGAATCCATTATCATTGTTCTTTTCTTCATGTAACTCCATTTTATGACTAGAAAACATACCAGCACAGTACAATATATTTTATGTCTTTATTTGTTTGATGTTGATGGCTATATTTCTAAACCATTTTCTTTTCCTTGCGTGTTGAATAGATAATATGATACTATTGTTACAGTAAACTTAACTGCAGAATCCCCTTTAGTAGATAGTTCCATCTTCAAAAATCTCATTGATAATTTTGGTCGTCTCATTAGCCCCTGTTTGGCCCCAATTAAATTTCATTACATTACATTCTATTTTTCTCTCTCCTATTTTCAACCACACAATCTTCCATAAAATAATATTACACGTAAATCGAAAACTTTTCCTTCTTCTTCAATCACTCATTTTTCAAAAAAAAACTATTCCACCCATTTTCATTTTTAAAAAATGGGGGCCAAACCGGAAGAATGTAAGGTAGTGTATCTGATTCCTTTTAACACTTCTGAAAATTGTCTAACAAAAATATTTCAGAGCATATGATGTTGCCTGCTAAAGTACAAATTATTAATGCGAGGTACAATGACAAAATGATTATTCTAGCATATAAGAACTAATACTCATGTGACTTGAAGACTTTGTTTTGTAAAGTTTTGCAGAGTAGAATAACATAATTTTTTTAGCATTCGAAAGTTAACCTCATATTTCACTATTATCTCTACATGTTTTCCTACTTGATATCTTAACGTTTTCATCATAGCTACACCAATATTTGCAGTTTGTTACTTGGATATAAATGTTGTTTTACCAAAAGTTCTCTGACACCGGTTGTATCTTCTAATTGTCAATCAGCTTATGCTGTAATTCACGAAAGAATCTTAACTTTCAATAGGCACCTCATTGTACAAATGAGGATATGTTTGTATCGTTCCATATCAAGACATAAATTTGTATGGAGATTGAATAAACCTAAGGAGAGGGAGCAGAACTTCATCTAATCTATCAATTTTTCTCGAGTTTTTTAAAATTATAGATGGTGTATTCACTCACTATAGTTTGTTAAGACTTGAGGTTCCATCCTAAAAGGTCAACCTTGTTATGAGTAGTAGTCCAAACCCTTATAAATTGGTCTATATTTTCATATTTAGATGGTGGCTTCTCTAAGCAGACCAATTTTGAAATCGTGTTCTCATTTTTTGAGTCTTAATCGAATCGAATCGAATCGCTCATTGGAGTTTAATGAGCTCTGATACCATGGTAAGACTTGAGGTCCATCTTAATAAGGTCAACCTTATTAAGAGGAATAGCCCAAGATCTTTTTAAGTTGGTCAATATTTCGATATTTAACAGATGTGAGATTTTTATCACTTAGCATGCCTCCACAAGATGGTGCATTGTTTGAATAGACCAATCTTACAATCTGTTGCTTATTAATTGAGACTTATAATCGGATCGAATCGCTCGTTAGAGCTTAATGAGCTCTGATACCATGTTAAAACATGATATTCCATTTTCAAAGGTCAATCTTGTTAAGAGTAGTCCAAACCTTTATAAATTGATTTATATTTTCATCTTCATTCGATATGGAATTATATCCCCTTACTATGATCGATAAATTAATGAATAGAATATCTGTAAAAGAAAAGGCTGGATGTATAGTGTGTAGTGTTTGTGTTCAAAGCCGAAAATTTCTATCCTCGACTTTCTCCTCTAGGTTCTAGAACTGTAGAGCATGATCAACTTGCGTCTTGAATCAAGAAGTGAAAGTTTTAGCATGCCCTTCACTAGTGTTTATGAATTTGAGTTAACAAACCGAGAAGTTTTTATAAAGCTAAATAAACACAGCTAAAATGTGTTGTTATGCTGATAATAAAAGCGCCCCTTCATCTTCTCTCATGCAGAGAAGTCCTTCATTCACCTTGTTCTATTTTCAGTGTTATCATACTCGTTTATTTTTTTTTTTGGGTTAAATTTCGAATTGGATATACATTTTATAATCTCTTTCTGTTCTTCAAAATTTGCTGCAGATGATACAAGTCATGAGAGAATTTCCCTTCACCCGAAGATTCCCAGCAGGAAGTCCTCTCAGAAAAAAAGAAAAGAAAAAGGAGCTGAAATATTGTACAGTGAGGGCATGTTCGTTTGTTAGGCAATGCAGACCAAATATTATTAATGTTGTAGCAATATACATTTCCTATGGCTGGGAACTACATTTGCAATCTGTAGAGATATTTCTTTCCGCATGCAAAGTAAAAGATACTTTCATCTGGACTAAGTGCTAAAACTTTCAACGGTTGTGCTACATGTATATCAAAATTAACAGATTTGTTCATCAATAGATGATTTTAAATCTCATCACCAAGAAAAATAAAATAAATTCTCCTCTTTTTTCTGCCATTGACTGACGTACGCCTTTGTTTGAAAACCATTGAAAGAAGATTCTCTCTTTTTCTTTTTTTTTTAACTTAATTTTAATCGCACATCCTCGTAATAAAATATTTTGTATGTAAATCTAAAAATTTTCCAACTCAGCATTATGTAAAAACATACTATTCTATAACTCATTTTTCCCCCAAAAAATTTGTTTTAATGGTTGTCTGGAAGGGGCTACTTATGTACAATTGTGTAAGTGATGAAAAGAATTTGACAATTTTAATTCAATTTATCGCTACTTCATCAATATGTAAAAAAATCTTCCAATGGTGATGTATAACAAGCATTTTTCAACTTCAAATGGTCAGGAACTGTAATGCTAAAAATAAAAATTAGATACTTTATTTTAAAATTTCTGTCGCCAAAGACTTTGCAACAATTTTACTCAATGTCGGCCTTGGTATAAGGCTTACAAGGCAAAGGCCTTGGGTCTCAACACTTTGGGGGCCTTTATAAAATTTCCATCCTAAGATTTCTCTTTTCGAATTACCCAAATCTTAATTTAATTACTATTGTTGATTAGAGCAATGTATTCTACAAGTAACTCAAAGTTTAATGGATTTTGACTTGGATCTCTCATTTATGCGTAGATGTCACCCAAAAAAAAAAAAAATGGTGGTGGTGTTTTTTTAGTATACTTATTGTTTTAAGTTCATTAAGCAGTTAGAATTGTTTACTCTCTCTCTATAATAAGAAGATAAGAAATTCGGCACTCTTTTGTTGGCGTCACTATTATTTATTTATGTTTCTTCCATTAGTCAATTAAATTTGAAGAAGTACACAAATTGAAAATACTGTCACAAGCTATAAAATAACTTCCATATTTGATTCAATACTTAGTATCCTGAAAATGGGATTCCCAATGGAAAATAAATCAAACTCGAAAAGTTATTTCGTTCAAGAATCGCTATAAATACAAAAAGAAATTATTTTTAAGGGTCTCATAATCATTAATCGCTTAGGGTCAAGCCTTGATTTTACTAACTTGTGTGCTTATCTATTTCAGTTTTCAAACAAAAATATAGTTCGTGGCACGGCCTGCTCTTTACACTTCAAAATCTTGCTACAGAAGAATCCAGTTGGTGAAATATATGGGTAATTTATTGCATAAAACTCGAGCCCCATTAGGTTCTGATTTTTCATCCAAAAAAATCAATTTTTTTATCGTTACTTTTCGAAGTCAACTGTCAATTTTTATTTCTTCTCTCACAGGTGGGATCCCATTTTTTCTTTAACGATCAAAAAATTGATTCTCATAATCACTATCGAAGAAGCCCCGAATCGACTAATTCATATAATTTTAACATAGGAACAGTAGCAAAATTTTAATTTCTTTTCTTTTCTATCTAGTACGTTTCACTATGTAGTGCTATTTTAGTATTTTGTTCAACTAGACAAAAATTTCAAATAACTTGTTTGGTCAAGTTTTCGGTCAAATCCAACCCAAAAAAAGCAAAAATTTAAATTTTGGGCCTCATTCAAAATGATTGTAATCCACTATAAAATCCAGATGTATACATACATATTACATACATTCAGGCTATATTATTATATATACACATTCATCCCAACACTTTCGTGTCCTCTCTTTACTCTTATTTCATGCAAAACCCAAACCCTTCACTTACCATTACAATGTGAGAGGTGAGGGGACTTCAAATCCCCCCCGCCTCTCTCTTCGTCTCTCTGTGTGCGTAAACTCATCTTTTTTTCGGCCAGAAAATCACCATTTAATCCCCATTTTGAAAGAAGAATTCCTAAATTACCCCATTTTCTTTTTTCACTGCCCAAAAAAATTAATCAGGATATACAAAACCATAAGCGTAAAGATTCCATCTTGAAGGTCAGATCTCAATCTTTTTGTTAATTTTTTTGATCTGGGTGTTTATGTGAATTTTTTATTATATTTTATTTATACGTTTGTTTTTTTGGTGCCTTTTTTGGTGAATTCTTTATGCAGATTTTGTTGAATTGCTTTTCTTGGTTTCTCTTTTGTCCGTATGTGCTTCGGTTTTAATGAGAAAATGGTTTTCTCGCCCATAAGTGATAGAATACATATAAGGGAGGTGTGGCATGACAATCTTGAAGCCGAGTTTGCTTTAATTCGAGATATTGTAGAGGATTACCCGTACATTTCAATGGATACTGAGTTTCCTGGCATTGTTATTTGGCCCGTAGGTGATTTTAAGACTAGAGCTGAGCAAAATTTTAAGACCCTTAAGGCTAATGTGGATCTTCTGAAGGTAATTCAATTGGGCTTAACCTTCTCTGATGAAAATGGGAATCTCCCCACCTGTGGAACTGATAAATACTGCATTTGGCAGTTTAATTTCCGTGAATTTAACCTTGAAGAAGATGTTTACATGCATGACTCCATTGAACTACTAATCAATAGTGGCATTGATTTCAAGAAAAATAATGAGGACGGTATCCATGTTTATAAATTCAGCCAACTTCTAATGTCGTCTGGGGTTGTGTTGAATGATGAGGTCCATTGGGTGACTTTTCATAGCGCGTATGATTTTGGGTACTTGTTGAAGCTGTTGACTTGGAAGAGTTTGCCTGATACTCAAGTGGAGTTCTATGATTTGCTTAAGATGTACTTCCCGATTGTCTATGATATCAAGTATCTGATCATGTTCTGCAACAACCTTTATGGCGGATTAAACACTATTGCAGAGCGCTTGGGCGTGAAGCGAGTTGGCACCTGTCATCAAGCTGGTTCTGATAGTTTGCTAACTTGTTCTACATTCTTCAAGTTAAGAGAGACTTCCTTAGGAGGCTCAATCGAGATGTATGTTGGCGTGTTGTATGGTCTTGATATTGGAAAATGAATTGACAGATTACTGCTGAAAGAAAATGAAAAAAGTATAAACCCTCAAAATTTAAATAAAAATCTATCTTGAGACTACATAGCTTTTTCCTGCATTACAAGTTTACGGCTTACATTGCTTTGGCTATTGTTCAGGTTAAGTTTCACTCTCCTGAAGTATGCTTTTACTTTCTTCCTGTGCTCTTACATAAATAGACGATAAGAAGAGTAAATAATCTGAACAATCAATAACTAATCTGCATATGAAGTTTCAGATGACAAAGCCTCAGTACAATTATTTGGCTTGATTTTGTGTAATTTCATTAGAACTATGATGGATCTTGTTTCTTGTTGCATATCACCACCTTTCTCTTTTGGAGACTTAATTGTGTATCAGCTTAATTTACAGTCGACCACTGACCAAAGTAGATGCAATCTTGTTGCTGATGTATGAAAAAGGATTTTTATTATTTCTGTCAAATTGTGCATATGAGTCATCTCCTCTGTTCTGTTTCCTGTCTAGTAAAGTCACAGCTTATATGGATTTAAAACTACCAAAGGCCTGCCTTTTATATCTTAGTTGTGTATGACTTGCCAAGATCATGGTAAAATGCAAGGGATTGATTGCTGCGAAGGAAATTTAAATACTGCATCATATTCTCCAGGTTCTAACTTTCTTGTTTCCTAAGGCGCTCGTTTAGATACTTCATAAATTGAGTTTTGTTTCACAAAGTTATGTTGATCCTATCGCTTGATATTAGAATTGAATTTTCAGGGCACATTTCATATGCTAAACTTGAACGTCCAATTATCTTACTACTGGGTTTATTTGGATTCACATTAGTTCTGTGGAAAAATATAAAGTAAATAGGTTTAATAGTTTTATATTTCGCTTGAAAGTCATTACAAAATTGAATAATTTGTACGGATATAAGCTGGCTTTCGTTAGTTTTTAAAAAAAAAGTTGAACTCCAACCTTGAGAGCCTCCACCACTTCGCCCCTGGAGTATCATGAAGGAGGTAAATCGCGGGATATGTCCCAATAGGTCAGAGAACAAGAGTTTGCTCGTACACTGGTGCCCACAAAGAGTTCAATTCCATATCTCAGGAATCGAATCCTCACACTGCGGCAGCCAACAAAGCTGAGACCACCTCACTCTTGTCCTTTGCACCACTGGGTTATGCCCCGGAGGGCTGCTTTGGTTAGTTTTTTACTTCCACTGTCTTCTTCGAATGTCTCTTGGATCCCCGAGGTTTTGCTTGTGTAGCTCTTGGGTGCTTATTTGCTTTAATTTGCAATGTCGCGAGTTGGTAAGTGATAAAGATTTACTTCTTGAGTTCTGCTTGTCATGAACATTTTATCATGATATCACTCATTGTTTATGTACACTCTGCTAAAGTTCTTCTATGAACTTTCATCAGTCGTGATAGGAAAATAACATTTGTTTCTGTACTACTACTTTGTCAGAATCATAATGCATATATATACAGTAAATGTAGAATAACGTTGCAGAACTATATCCTAGAAATTGGGGGCACTCTGAGTATTATGTCTTTTAAAGTTATCCAAACGGCCCTTGTGAACAAAGCTTCGGAAGGGTAGAAATCTCAATGATTGCAGCTTTCTCTAGACCTCGAACAGAAAAGCACTACTCCAAAGTTGTTGCCCCAATTTAGTGTCCCATTACTGCAACTTGATATATTCTTGGTTCACCTTTTCTTTCATCCATGATATTATTTTCTTCACTGGGGAATTTAATGGCATCATTGATTTAATCATTCGCATTAATAAACATTTGAGTTATACATTTCTAGGAATCCAAGTATTACACATTTAATGATCACTCATTTCTATCTATTGTAAATATAAAAACACTTCCAAACATGTTTGTGTAAATCTGAGCATGGCTTTCCAAAGGACAAACTCCAATGAACAATCTTTCATGATAACTCGCTTTTCATTTATAGCTCTTAAAATTTGACTTAGCTATTCATTTTTCTGCTTGAAAATTAAGAGATTCATAAATTAAAAAAAGGCATTACATATGAATTTGATGCATCGATACCTATATGGGAAAAATTGAAGCTCTTCATGGCCAATAAAATTTTAAGAGCAATGATATTTCTTACTATTGGTATTTAACAAAAGTTTAGGTGACAGCACTAGCGATATCAATAAATCATGTCTCATATAGCCCCCGTCTGGTTGTAATTTTTCACTCCAAAAAATCAATTTTTTAATCATTATTTTATTATTTCAACTGTCATTTTTTTACTTCTTCACTCACATGTAAAATCCGCTTTTCTCTGTAACGGTCAAAATCAATTATCATAATCACTACCGAAAAGACTCTTAATAAGATCTATGATATGTTAATACTTAAACTAAGTTCAATATCATTTGTGTTAGATAGCATTATTCAAAAAATAATTCTCGACAAATTGGTAACTTCGGCCTGGTAATGGCCAACTTATAGGTCGTGTGACCTTTCTTATGGCTTGGTGGCCCATGAGATCTGTTACTGGACTGTGGTTCTTCTTCTTAGACCTTTTTAGTAAGTAAAAATTAGTTGTGGAATTGGTTCGTGTATTTGTGGTCCGTTGAGCAAGATAGTTGGCAACTATCTTGTATGGGCTTTTATTTGGTAACCTCATCTACTGATGGATTCCTTGGTATTCATTGGTGAGCCCATGATTTAGTGCTTCCTTGTCGGTGATTTCAATTCTTTATAAGTTTATAGAATGCTTGAATAATAATTCGTGAGTCTTTTGAAATATATGAATAAAAAGTATGTTTGGTCAACATAAATTATAATTTAAGCTTTGTCAGAATGCACATGAATGATTAAATTAAAATGTTAGTGATTGTAAATTGTGGATCCAAAGAAAATGTGTCGACAATAAATGGATATCAATTGTAAATTCTACAAATGAGTGGACAAAGTTCATAAATGATTACTTTTTTATATTCTTTAAAATAAAATATTTAGTTAAAAGACTACACAATCTTTACATATTCATTTTATTCACATTCGACCAAATTTAAAAGTTCATGTACAATTAAATAAATAACTTTTGTAACAAATAATTTTAATTAAGCTAAAAATAATTGACTCATTTTAACAATAAGGGATGCTAAATGTTTGGTTAAGCTTAAAAGTAATTAAATTTTTGTTTCTTTGGACGTTTTTGTATACTACTTATTCTTATTTATAGTAAAAATTTATTTATTTTGACCATGTAATAGTTATTATTATCAATTAAGTGAGTTACTCAATATTTAATTATGATATTAAAAATATTTGTTAAAACCTTATATTTTATAGATTAATACGAAAAAAAAAGTATATTATTGAAGTGAGTCATACATGGGTGTGAAATAAATCTCTCGATGTTTTCTATCTATTTTCTCAATTTTCAGATGATATTAGAATGTGTTGTAATAAATATTATTTTGAGAATAGTGACTTACAATAATATTTTTTTTTTGTGCGTTTAAATTAAAGTTTTCAATTTTTTTGAAATGATGGATTGTCAATTTTCAATATACATATAATGATTCCGTCAATTTATATTTTTTACGAAGAATGTTGAATTCCTAATTGGCAAGGAAAGCTAAGAAATCTAGTAGAACATATTAGATGTTGTGAATTGATTGCAAGACAATGACAATAATGAAATATTAGTCACCACCGGAGCCACAAAGGACTATCTAAATTGATTTATTTCTGCCGATAAGCGAAGGATTGACTTCGCTAACCTCAGCTTAACTGAATTCAATATTCTAACATAATTTCAAACTCTACTGTGGCCCGCCCATGACGCTTTTTTCTGCTTCTTTCTTGGTTGCGTTAGCAGAGAAGGGGAAAGCAGGCTCAAGGAAAGGGCGGTTACTAGCTGTGTCCTTAGAACCATCCTTAGACCATTCTCAAGAACCTAGCAAACAAAAGACAAGAAGACCAAAATTTATGTGGAAACTCAAAATAGGAAAAAAATCATAGGCAGGAGGTGAGAATTTCTCCATATCAATAATGAATGTGTTTACAACTAGATCCGAATACTTTTAATCAAGATCTAAAGCTTTCAAGATATTGTATGAATGTTTTGATCTCAATACAAGTCGTGGAGAATATATATAAACCTAAAGTTCAAGTTGTATATGAATATGAATCCAAAAAACAAGTTAAAAAGCAAAACAGGCATGGGCCACATAAACATGCCACTCAAGCACCAGGCGAGTGCCAAGTCTTTATTAAAATTTTGATTACGCCACTCGAGTGTCTAGCTAGCTTCAAAGCTAGCTAAATTTCGACAACTTTTCTCTTCTGTCCATAATTTGATTTCTTCAAGATCAGTTTAACTAAAACTCCAACGCCCACTAAAATTGGTCAAACTACAATAAGTCTTTACTTTGAACCAAATTTCAATACAAGAAATTGCAAAACCCATCACTAAAGTAAACATCACTCCACCTCTTCCAAACAAGCTCCAATGGGCTAAATCAATGACAAACACCAATTAAGTTCAAATAATGCTCAAACTTGGCAACATGAAGTGATTTTGTCAACATATCAGCAGGATTATTCTTGGTATCAACCTTGCTCATTACAATATCATCGCGAGCAATCGCTTCATGCACAAAATGATATCTAACATCAATGTGTTTAGTCCTCTTGTAAAATATCTGATTCTTAGTCAGAAAAATAGCACTCTGACTATCACAATACACTATAGAAATCTGTAAGTCTTTACTGATTTCACCAATCAATTTTCTCAACATACAGCCTCCTTACGTGCCTCTGTAATGGTCATGTACTCTGCCTCTATTGTAGACATTGCTATTGTATTTTGCAAAGTAGCATTTTAGTTGATAGCACAACCTCCAAGAGTAAATGCATACCTTGTAAATGATCTCATCTTTATCAAAATTCCCTACATATCTGAATTTACATACCCAATGGCTCTATCTGTATTTTTACCAAAATGCAAGTAAGCATTAATAGAGCCTCTCAAGTATCTGAATATCCACTTCGCTTCTTTCCTATGTTCATTGTCAGGATTTACCATGTACCTACACTGACTACATGTGCCAAATTTGG